TCTTTGTTTTTTACCAAAGAAGTTTTTAAGGTAATTTGTAAGGATTTAAGAAACACAGACTAACCCAAAGAGTGGTGTGAGAAAAAAATTATAAACCAAACATGAGTTAATATAATAGAAACAAAGCTGATGCAATTTTAATGTGGAAGGTGTCCCACTCTTAAACAAAGTAATTCAGTAGGGGAATGAATATATCCATTCCAGGGCCAAAATTCTGCTTGCTTGGCTTAATGCAGGGTGACTTTTAATGAATGTTCACTCTTTAGGTGATCCAAATTTTGACAGCTATTTCTTAGCAGTATGTTCATAGAAGTTACATGCTACTCTAACTAGTTAGCTGTAGATGCAAACCAGAAACACATTTCCTATTCAGTGAAGCTGGCTAGGAATGATATTAAATGAAAAACCCAACGAGGACATATTCCTAAATAGACCACCCTAACCCCACTCACAGGGAAGTTGAGAGTACTCTTGGGAAGAATAAAGATCCTTATGAGAAAAGAAAACTAATACGCACACAATTAGTGATCACAGACTCCAATTTCAGCTTTATGTAACTTGATGATTTTAGATAAAGCTTAGGTATAACATTGCTGTGACATAAATATCTATGTAAATTATATAATTTTAGTATGTAAGACTGCTCTTTGGTAGCCCTATGGCATGCAGGCTGGGAATGAGTTAACATTCTAGAGCCAGCAGATAGGGATTAACTGAAGGGCACTAGACAATCAATCAGCAGGATTTGAAGAATGATGGAAAGAGATCAGGGTGAAACTGTATCCAGTGGTCACCACTTACTAGAAACAGGATCCATGGGTTCTTAGTTGCAAACAATAGAATCCCTCTAGAAAATAAAGTAAAAAAGGGATTTGTTAAGGGAATTTTTGACTAGTATTCTCAGCAAGAAATATATTTGGCATTGTGGCTTTCACATACACCTATACATTTTCATACATAAGTGAAACAAAATTTCCTTATTCTATGAGATTTAGATATTCATTTCTATCCTATTTCATTTTTAAAAATGGCTACTTGTAACTCTCTAAGTTGCTTTTCCATCCTATCAATGGGTTGTGAAGTGTATTAAAAAAATGACTATAATAAAAGATATCATAGCCATAGCCCTGTAATTTCTAGGATGGCAAGAGTTGGAGTTGGGATTTATGCAGCCAGTCACAAGAGCAGAAACCCACCATGGCTCATCCTGAGCAACATCAATTTCTCTACCACTGTGGCTTGTATGTCTGACATAGGTCCCCAAATACCAGAAACTCCATTTTTATTATTTTTTTAACAAAAGTTGCTACCCTAGTCAGAGAATAGATTCTGCCATTATCTTGTGTTCTCAGGTTGCTCAATTTCAAATTAAAGCTCCACTGGTGTGTTGGGGTGCAGCCTCGGTGATGTGTTGGCTATGTGAAAAAATGTATCAACTACCTTCTACCTTGAGAAGGAAAAAAATTACATAGTGCCTATTCTTCCAATATAAAGAATGTGTTTTAGAGATCTAGGCAGTTGACCAAACAAGTGACAAATACTCACTACATCCCAGGAAAGTGGTGGTTTCTACTGAACTGAGTGGAGAAAATAACAGGGATTGAGATGTCGAACGCTTGGTATTCTTTTTGAAAAATTGTGGTAAAATATGTAAACTTAGTGTCATAACCGTATTTTGTTGGCATTAAGTACATTCACATTGTTGTGTACCCATCAGTACCATCAATCCCTAGACTTTTTTCATCTGAGTTCAAAGCTATGAACCTATTAAACTCTATCTAATTCCTCATTCCCAGTGTTGCCAGCTCTACTTTTTGTCTCTATGAATTTGGCTTCTCCAGGTACAACAAAGAAGTAGCATCACACAGTATTCTTCCTCTTGAGCACCTGGTGTTCCTAGTGAGTGTTATAAAGTTGAGTGTGAAGAAGAGTAGAAGTGCAGAGCATTTTCTTTGGACGAGGTTATCAGGAGTGGCGCTCTTGCTAATTTTGAAAAGAGAGGTTCTTCTCAGAAACAGTATCAGAAAGTCATCCACTAGCATTTAACAGAGACAAGGTCACATTTTTGACAAGGTCAATGTCTAGAGATCATACTGACTTTCTGTGACAAGAGACCTTCAGGTTGTGTTTGTGTTTCAAGCTGACAAAGGCCCTGATTACTTCTAGCATGATGACATGAAGATTTTTATTAGGCTTAGATTCCAGGTGATAATGGGAAACTAACAGCTAATCATAGTTGACAACGGGAGAGGAGGAAAGACTGTATTTTCTTTCTCTGAGACATGGGCATTACAACATTCAGATTTCTCTTAACACGTGTGCTTCTGGCAAAAGCTGTCAATTGTGGTAATAAACTGGATGGCTAGAAGCTGAGAGAATATAGATATGACCTTCATGGTTCTAATTACCATCACTGCAGAGCACAACACCCAGAAGTCAGAACAAGAGACTTAACTAGGGCATAATTGCCTATGATTTAGGATTCGTGTTTGTGTGTTTTTGTGTTTATGCTCATTTGAGTTGGTGGTGGTGGTATGTGTGTGGGTGTCCTAGTTAAATAGGGGAATTAACATTTTCTCTTACTCAGAATTCCTTGAGCACCTGTAAATAGTACTTAGGTTCTATTTCTTATCAAGTCAATTGTTCCAGAGGAAGGACCTAGTTTTACTGCTTAAATGACCAAACTCAAATGCAGTCATCCATTTTCTGGAGCTAGATGTTGGTTGCTTAAAAAAAATAAAAAGAAAGGTGAAGAATCATAAAATATGTGCCATAGTGGGTAAAGAAAACAACCATCAGGATTTCACGATATGTGGTCATCACTGATTTTTGCTAGTTACATTCATGCCCATCAATCCCTTAGCCTTACCCTGGGATCCTACTGCCTTTTCCTAGTTAGTTCACTCTCCTGTTCTCTTATGTGACTGCTTCATACCTTCTCCTTTCCACTTGAATGTCCACCATCACCTCTCCACTTTCAGCCAATAAGCATCTACTTTATACTTACTGAGAAAATAGAAACAATTTGAAGAGATCTTCCACAGATTTCTGATTCCATGTCTACTAATCTTGCATTCATGCCCACTTCTTTCTAGCCTGTAATAAAATACTATCCATACTTTTTAAATGCACTGGATCCCATCTCCTCTACCTTCCTGAACAACATGGCTATGATACACATTTTCTGTTGCATTATTAAATTCCCCCACCACTTCTGGATAATTCCATCAGCATATACATGTATTATTACAGCTCTCATCTAGAAAAACACCACCACTCTCTTACTGTTGAATCCATTCAAGATACTATCTTTCATTTCTACTCCCTTTTAAAACTAAATGCATTAAATATTCGTTATACTTCCCTCTCCATTTCCTATCCTCCCATTATCTCTTGAATTCTCTCTAGTCAAGCTTTTGTCTTTCCACTCTGAAAAATTACTGTATCAAGGTCATATTGACCTTGTCAAATTCAAGAGTCAGTTTTCATTTTATTTAGTCTCTCTGCAGAATTTGATGCACCTGATTCCCTGTCCTCTTTTTCAGTGGTACTGGGATTTTGAACTCAGGGCCTAGCACTCTCTATGCAAGCACTCTACCACTTGAATCTGCCTCCAGCCCTTTTTAAATTTTAGTTATTTTTCAGATAAGGTCTCAAGCTTTCTGTCTGGGACAACCTGTAGGTGATCCTCTTACCTATGCCTCCCTGTAGCTGGAATTTTAGGATTAAGCCTATGAGCCTGACCTTTTTCCAGCTTTAGCAAAGGTTTATTTAGTAAAGCTGGATAAAGTACAGAGAAATAGAAAGGGAGAAAGACATACTCCCCACCATGCAGAGGTGAAAAGAGAGAGGCTCAAAATGGTAGACCTCGTCCTACACATCCAAATACAAATTCTAATCTATGCTGAGGAGCCTGGTTTAAATTTTCCCTAGATAAGTGATCAAGCCCCTTGGCAACCTTTCATCCAAACATGGAGACAATGGATTTAGGGTGACTTTGTTACTCCCCACATGTGGAGACAATGGGTTCAGGGACATGGACATCTGCTTTCTGTGATCAAAGAATGAATTCAGCAGGCACATCTATTCTGGAGTCTATAACTCATCTAAGGAGAGTGTAACTTATTTAACATCTAAAAGAAAGTTATGTGGTGGGTGCATATACTTTATTAAAATGATTAATTTAGCTTTTGCTGCTCCAAAGGAAAGATTACTTAATAATTAACATCTTAATCATTTAGGTATGGCTTATTTCTAGTATTTAGAATACCAATGGCTCCTTTCTGGAAAGACTTTTCTCTGTTGACTTCTGGTATATTCTGTTTGTTACTTCCTAACTCACAGAGGGCTCCCCCAACTCTCTGCTGGTTTCTCTTTATCCACCTTCATTTCTTAGGCTTTCTTTCTTTCCCATCTATTTTTACTCCCTATATCAGACATTCTCAAATTCTTTGATCTTAAACCTCTGTATATGCTTGGCATTAGTGAGAATCTTTTTTTTTTTACTTTTTGAAATATTTTATTATCACTGTTCCACACTGGAGAGACAACAGCGGACAAGCAGAGAAGTTCAAGATGCCTGAAACCTCCACCCTTAACTGTGCAGAGACCCAGGGCCATGCCTGGACACCACAGCCAGCTTACTTAGGACAGGTGCAAGCTGCACCAGGCTAAGGGTTCCTATGCCAGCTACTGTTCACAGGACTGGGGCTCCCCCAGAAGGTCCTTACTGTCCCCTCCTTCCCTTCCAGAGATGCAGTCCTAGGGAAAAAAGTCAGAGACAAGTCAGGACGAACCAAAGCGGGGAGCTGTGACAGGAGCCAGCAGTCGGAGGACAGGGGATGGGGGGCTAGGGCCAGGGCCCACCCCCTGCTCACACAAGAAGGGACACTACAGGGCAGTAAGGGGAGAGGGAGGTGGGAGGGGAAAGCTAGTTAGACACAGAGGCGGCTTCCAAAGAATCGTAGTGTTACTCTGGACAGTGAGCTTTGCACCTTGGATCAGTCAAATGAGATGAGCTGGGCTTCACTACCCTGTGCTGGTGGTCCTGCCACTGGTCATTGCTGGGCCACTGGCGGCTGCTGCTGGGGAGGGCCACCGGAGGGCGCCATCTGCTGGTACATGGGCTGCTGCCCTGTGATGTAGGGCTGCTGGGGTGGCAAAGATGCATCCTGGCCAGGGAAGGTGGTCATGAGAGTCTGCATGTTATAAGGCTGATAGCCTATGGCCACTGACTGATTCCCCATACAGCCCATGGTACCAGACTGTGGTGGCTGGGAGATGGCTGGGAGGCTCTGTGGGGCCTGGGAGGACACATTCTGGTAGCCTGGGGTAGGAGTGGGCTGATACGATGAGTAGGCAGGGCTAGCGGTGGGTGCAGCCTGCGCCTGGGGGGGTGTATGTGCCCCAGGAGTCCCTGCTGGGTACATGTAGGCGCTCACCATGCTGGGATCTGCTGCGTTGCTGGGTATACTGGAGTAGGGGCCAGCAGCTGGGGCTGGCTGGCTCATGTAGACACCATGCATGGGGGAGCTCTCCACTGAGCCTGCTGGGCTGAAGGTGCCAGGAAAGCTGGTTGACCTGAGTGCTGGTAGAGCACACCCCCAGCCGAGGGCATGGCCTGGAGCTGGGCATAGGGCAGGGGGAAAGCAGGCATCTGAGCGCGCATCTGGACGGTCTGTTTCTGTTGTTCCAGACGCATCTGCCGTTCCTTCTCCTGCTCCTGCAGGCGTTGGATGGCCAGTTGCCTCTGAACCTCCAGGTACTCCTGCTTCTTCTGCCGCATGATCTCCAGCTTCTGGGCCAGCTGTATCTGACGCTGGCGCTCAGCCTCCTCTGCTGCCCAGCGCAGCTTTTCCCGGTGCTCCTCGCGCAGGGCACTCAGTGCCCCCTGGCATCACGGATCTGTGCCAGCTTGTCCTGCAGTCCCTCACAGTACAGCCTGCGCTCGTCCAGTTGGCTGAGGAGCTCGAGCAGCTGCGGGTGCATGCTGTTAATGGACTGGAAGAGGGAGAGCATGGCCGGCCGAGTCATTGGTGATGCTGGGCCCCGCATGTGGTTACTGTTCACGCGGTTGACGAAGGTGGTGACAGCGTTCTGCAAGGCTTTCAGGAACTGCTCCTGGCTCTCCTCTGACTCCCCATTCTGGTACTGCTCGCTATATGGGCCACCAGAGGGAGTTATAGACTGAGAGTCTGTCTCCGGAGGGGAGCCTCCACCATGTTGGCAGGGGCTGTGTGCCCCTCCCCAGGCTGGGCAGCTGGCTCTGTGAGGGGCACAGGTGCAGATGGTGTGGGGCTCTTCCGAGCCTCTTCCTGCTTTTTCTCCCAGTAGTTTCGATTGAGATACCGTGCAAGCTCAGGGTCGATGTCCTCAGCCAGAGGCGCTGATGAATTCACAGGAGAAGAGTACAGGCTGCTGGCTGGGGGCGCTGATGATGCCAGGGGTGTGGGCTCTACCTTGGGGTGTGCTGTGTATGTTGACTTCTGTCTCAGCCTCTCCTTCTCCTTGGCCTCTGACTGCGATAGAGACAAGGCCTACTGCAGCTCCTCTTTCTCCTGCAGTGCTGTCTCATCTCGCTTTGGCGGCAACTGGGACTGCTGTGAGAGGGGGGCTGGTCAGATACTCCGGGGGCAGCTCGATGGTAGAGGTGGCCTTTCCTTCTGCTTTCTTGTTCAGCTGCTCATAGCAGGGCTCGCACACGCGCACCTCCTTCTCGATGCCAAACTTGGGGATGGTGGAGTACTTAGAGGAGCACTTGCCGCAGAAGATCTGCCCGCATGCCCAGCAGTGGTGCTTTCGGGTTACCACCCCAAACTGCACTCTGCACCGGTGACATTCCTCAGCATCCACCCAGTCAGGAGCCCTCTCAGCAGCAAACATGGCATCACTTTCCTTAAACTCTGGGAAAACATGTCCTTCCACTTTCATGATCCGGTAGGTGTCCTGGACCACCTTGTACTTGGGCTCGTTCTGGAAGGCGTGTCCCTAGCCCTGGATCAAGTACCGGATCTTGTACCGGACATTTACTTCTACTTGCCTCTTCAACAACTGCATCAGTTCCTCCATGGTCTGTTTGTTGGCTACCTCATCGTGGACCGTCTGGCCACAGTTCTTCACCACAGACTCCATGACCTCCAGGGCATACAAGGCCACATGTGGATTCTTATCGTTGACTTTCTTCTTGATGGAATTTACAGCATATTTTGCTTGTGTGTCCCCCTGACGGATCAGGTCACAGATCTGCAGGATGGACTCCCAGTCAGTCTCTAGCAGAAGCTGGCTGGTGGCTTTGTATAGGAGACGCTCGAAGGTGCCACTGCCTCGCCCCATGGCTACTCCGGACCGGACCGTCACGGTACTGCTCCGGTTGCTCGCAGCTGGCGCAACCCCCCCACACACACACCGACTTCTGCTTCCATTAGTGAGAATCTTGAAGAACAATTGCTTCTGTGGCTGATATCTGTTTCTAATACTTTATGAGAAATTGTAACTAAGAAATTAAAATTTATTAACTTGTTTTAAAACATAATAAACCCATTGCACATATGGACCCTCTGAAAGGTTCCTGGGGATCCACAGAAGTCCAGGACCCCATTTTGTGCATGGTTTCCTAAATCATCTCATTTGTGCTCTTAAATGTTATCTGTGTGATGGTGACTCCCAAAGTTTATATTTCATCCTAGACAACTTCACTGAATGCCAAACTCATATATATGTAAATTTCTATTTATTACCTTTTCTTGGTCTGAGAGATAGTTCAAACTTAACACATCCCAACCTGAACTCTTTCTGCCTGCACACACTTGATCATCCTAAAATTTCCTATGTCAATAAATGGCTTCCAGTTATTTGAGAAACAAAAGAAAGGGAAACTAAACAACACAACACAAAAAAACCCCAAGTAGTCAACTAACTAACCAAATTCAGCAAAATACTGTGTTCATAACTTCTCCCTTCCATGTTTCACATCAAATCCATTAGCAAATCCTGTCAGCTGTCATAAAATAGTTTCCCAATCTAATTTTCATGATGCTTGTTCACCACCCATCCTACTCTAAGACAAGTAGAGTAGGCAACTCCCTTGCCAAGATTATTGGAGACAACTCTTGGCCATCACCTGCTTTTACATTTCATCATATGCCTTTCCTTACCCTTTCTCTTGTCCACAGAAAGTCCAAGGGATCTTGCTGGAATTTGAGTCAGCTCCTTCTAACAGTTTGCCGTCTAATTCAAAGTAGAATCCAAAGTCTTTGCCGTGGCCTAGAGGACTTCATCTCCTGTAACTCTTCTCTGGTCTTGATCTCTCATTACAGGAAGAGCCTCTTTGCTCATCCTCAATCACACCAAGTACCCTCCTGCCCAGGACCTGTGAACTCAGCTCTCTTTGCCAGGAATCATCACCCCCCCATCCCCACATACCTGTGCATCTTCTTTCACTGCTTTATTATTCTTTATTACTGATCACCACTTGGTACATTATCCACTTATTTGTTTATTGGCTGTCTCTCTTCCCAGGAGAATATAAGCTTGCGGGCAGGGACTTTCTGTTTTGTTTACTTCTGTGTCTCCAGTGCCTGATTTATTCTTGGTACTTGTGCATAAAGGGCAAATGGCCAAGCAGCACATGCACCAGGCCTGCTGCAGCAGTGTTTATGGGGAAAACTCATGGAGACAGAAGCAATAACCTGTCCCCTGCCACTCATTGCATTATTGGGCATTGCACTGAGATCTCACAAGAACAGATGTTAGACTCCAGGAGAGGGTCCCTGACCCTTAGGCTATAGGCCTTTTAAGCTGCATGATTAGATGAACACCATCCCGTTCCCTGGATACAAAAGCATTACAGAGTGGCAGAACCTTGGCTCCAGCCCTGTACTGAGAGCTTGATTTGGGGTGTGGGGTAACATTAGCTCTTTCCCTGCTCAGGTGAGAGGCTGATTCTCTGCTATGCCAAGGTGCAATTCATCATACAAAATTTTAAGATTGGAAATGCATGCCTACCAATGGCATCAAAGGATGCCACAGCCCAAACCTGCGTTCCACTTGGAGCCATTGTCTTAAGCACTGGGCCATGGCCAGTAGCCGTTAAGCTTTGTAGAAGGTCAGATCCTTTTCTGGTCTGCTGGCCTTCAGGAGAAGGTTACTTGTACATGTCAGCAGTCAGCACTGAAGAAAGACTTATCGAATGAATGGTGTGTGTGTGTGTGTGTGTGTGTGTGTACACACATGAGCACTGGAAGCATTCTCTAACTTATGACCATGATTTATAACTGGCTACATAAAATAAGGAGCAGCAATGTTAGGTTGGAGAGCTCTGTGAGGCTTGTAACAATGGTCTATTGTGGCTCTCTTTTATACATGGGGAAGGTATAAGCTCTATAGCCCAGTACAAAATATTTTCTTATGTCAACGTAGATACTCACCTTTCTCCACCTCAGATACTGTTAGCCATGTTCTTTTTTGTTGCTGTTTGTTTTGCTCAATTGGATATGATGTCTTATATTTTGAAGCCCAAAACACGTTACATGTACTCTTTTCCCACACCCTTTCATTTCCATATTCTTTTTAGATCATGTGCATATCTATTTTATTTCACTATATGCATTAATGTAAAAGATATTTATTGAGTTTCTGTTATGTACCAGGTAATGCACTTGACCTGGGAATCTCACTGTGAGTAAGGCAAAACCCCTCAAGAACTTACCATTCTAGATAGGGTAGTAATTTCCAAAGTCATCCCTCATAGTGGGTTGTTCAACCTTGGCACTATTGACATTTGGGCCAGGTTATTCCTTGTAGGGGTGAAGAGACATCCTGTACATTGTAGAATGCTTCATAGCTTCACTGACTTTTACTCTTTTGATGCTAGTACCACCTTCTTCTCAATTGTGGCCACCCCAACGATCTCCAGACATTGACTATGTTCCATGTGGGGAATAATCACCCTTGGCTAAAACCCTCTGTTGTACAGTGTCTATCACTGTCAAAGATTATTCATTGAGTTAAGATTGAAATAATACTTTTGTCTTCCCACAAGACACAGCTACTATTAGCACTGAAATGATGACAGAAAGAACATAAAATTGTCTCTTTTACTTACTAAAGTTTTGAACTGTAGCTGGTACAGTACCTCCTTTAGTGGTAGGAGGAACAAATGAATTAATACACTAAATAATAATATTTATATGGTATAAAGTCAAAATAATTTTTCAACAAATGTTCACTGTAAGTAAGCCATTGTTGGCTTACAATGAGAACATTTGCAGGCTGAGAGATACATGCACCCAGCACCAAATCAATATTATACATTAATAAAGTATGGATTAAACATATAAAATTGAATTGGTTTTAGAAAGAAATGAGCATTGTTAGTTACAGCTTTTCATGAAGAAAGTGATATTTTTAGTCAGCTTTTTTTCTTTTTTAAAGATATTAAAGGATGCGCATGAATAGAGGAGAGGTGCTGTCCCTTTGCTTAGGTGACTCTCTAAAAAGGTTCATGATGTAGTGATATTTAGGGAGAAGATCACTGTCTACCCCAAGTTCTGGGTTGACTTCATTATTAATTATCCCAGTTTATCAAAAGCCACAAATACACACTTACCATTTACAAGTAAGGTATTTTGCTCAGCATGCCCATGTGTCTTTAGCTCAGTCAAATTGTACTCATAGAGATACAGGTTCAGACTTGCTGCTAACAAACCATCATAAGGCCTTCTTAGCTTTTGGGAACACGGTCTTATTTTCAATGTGCAGTTGCTATTTCACGGGATCCTCTGCATCTGAGCCTACTACGTTTTTATGGGAGAGTTTATTTCCTTCATGTTGTTTTGGGTTAAGGACATTTTCATGTGAATGAAGCTAGATGAAAATTTTCAGGAGACCAGGAAAAGAAATGATAAAGTCTAGAATATTTTTTATTAAGGAGATTGCCAATAGAATTAACAACTAACATAACATAGAAGAGAGCAATATACAGGAGATTACTGCAATGAGATTTAATGATTATATAATTTGGGGAAAATTTTAAAGCTTTGGTGCTAGTTGAAATTTTTCTGCACTATTTTCCTTAAAACTTGTGTATACTAGGATAATTGCCAAAATCTAAGTTCTTATGTCATGACTTTCTTTCAATACGTATATGCCACCATATATCACTTATTCATATATTCTGCTTTGCTCCCATTTTGGGATGAATTAATACCTTTGTTACCTTTTCCCCCCTTCTATAACTCTCTTTGCTCATAATGAGGGATAAAGTTGTTTTTGCCCATGCAGGCAGATATTTAACTGGAACTGGGGGAGGAAATCTTCCTTCCTCCTTCCTTCTTCCTTACCAGTTTTCCAATGACTTCCTCTCTCTGTGATGGGCCTGGGCTCCAGCAATCAACCCTTCTTAAGAAGACAACTCTTTGGAACTTTCATTTCCTCCTTCATGAGTTCTGCCCTCCAAGCACTTCAATGCAGGCAGTCAACTTTCCATCCTTGGCTCTTCTGCTCACCAGCATTCTTCCAGTTCTTCCTGTGGGCTCATCTTTTATACTCTGCTTCACTCTTAGTTGCTGTGAAGATCAGATAAGTAACACATGTAGAGCACTTAACAGGTTCAGCCAAAGGACTAATATTTGTTTTTGTTCCATGGTGTTTCAAACTCTTAAAAATATAAATCAAGTTTAACAACATTTGTAGCAGTATGATCATGAGTCACTATATGGAAAGGGCAAGAGGGATGGGGGCAATGGGCAAGAGAACTTTGCAGGATCTCACACTGATGGAAAATAAGCTTGTAGGCAAAAAGGAAAGTAGCAAGAAAAAGCTCTTTTCTTCCTATCATCCACAGCAACGTAAGACTTTCTAGATGTGTAGATTCATGCTTCAGGTGTAAAGCGAGTTAAGCAGAATCTGACATGACCAGTGTTCAGTTCATGGGATGGAGCAAAGATGGGCTCAGGGCATAGATAAGAAGGCCTCTCCTGCTTCCAAGACCCAGAAGCTTGAGCTGGGCTTTGTAGCCCATGATCCCAGTTGCTGGGGGACAAGGGGAGGTAGTGGTAGGAGAATGTGGATCAAGGCCAGCTAGGGCAAAGTAAGTGTGAGAGCCTATCTGAAAAACAAGCTAAGAGCAGAAGGAGGGGGTGTGTTTCAAGTGGTAGGGTGCTTACTTATCCAGTCTGAATCCTGAGCTCCATCCCTAGTATTGCCAACTTCCCCCAAAAAAACAGAAAACAAAACAAAAAAAAAAACAAAACAAAACCCACCAGCAGCTGTGAGAGAATGAAGGACAGCAGAAAAGCTGAGTGAAGGCACCCCAAAATCATACCTTCTTATTC